TGAGCAGCGAGGTGAGACGGGAGGAAGACGGAACCGGTGTAGCGGAAGGGGGGTGTGGAGGGGTGTCGGGCGTCACCCTGCGCTGAGGGCGGGAGGCAGGTGGGCTGAGGCGGGACCTGCTTCGTCGCGGAGGGGCCTGCGCGGTGCAGCCGGCTGAGCAGCGCCCGAGACTCGCGCAGCCGGCTGGCGCCTCTGCCGGGCCTCGGGCTCCACTGACTCGAGCCCAGCACCTGCGGTTAACATTCCCGACCCGCGCTGTTCTCGAGCCGCCTCCTCGTTTATCCGTAGTGTGTCATGAGCCATGAGCCATGAGCTAGGGCTCGTGGGAGACACCGCCCCCTGGTGGGCGGGGGGAGGGGGGGAGGCAGACGCCCCCTGAGTCGTCACCCAGGCTTCCCGAACTCCCCTGGTGAGGGGGAAGAGGGGGCTGTCGGTGCGGCTGTGCGGGCCTTTCTGCACCTGAGAAACCAGCCCGGGAGGCCGCAGGGACGGCTGCGGGCCAGGGCAGAGGCCGCACAGGGCCCATCCAGCCCCCTCAAACTTCCCAGCACCCAGCTTTGTGGCCTTCTGGGTAGAGCACTGGCTTCCCAGGCTGAAGTGACGGGGTCCAGGTGCTCACCTGGATGTCGGCTTTCTGGCGAGGCCTTGAAGGCACCTGACGGCCTTCGCATGCCCGCGTGGGGCGGGCCCGACACCTGCTGGCGGTGGAGAGGAGAGCAGATGGCACAGCCGCTGAGGCCCCGCTGCCTCCGGCCTCCGGCCGGTTGTCTGGTGCTTTTCCTTCGAGATTCAGGGGGCCCTGGGCTGCACTGGGCCCCCTTGGCCGGGAGGGGCTGCCTGCCGGAAGAGACGGGTTCAGATGCGAGCGGTCGTTACGTGCATCTGCCGCGATTCTTTCTAAAGTAGAAGTTTTCGAAGAAAGAGAGTTCTGGAGCGCAGCGAGTGGGGCGGCCGGGGGGAGGCCCCGCGGGACAGTGCTCACTCCCCTGCTCCCTCTTCTCTCTGCCGCAGACCTGACTTTGGGAGGAGTCCTTTTATTTCCTATTGATGACAAGGAGTCAAGAAGCAAAGGGCAAGATTTGGTAAGTTTAAAACACGCTTTCAGAGCTAAGGTTTAGTTCATCTCGTAAAGCCTCTTCCCCTGGCGGTCTAGAGAAATGGGAATTTATTTCCTCCCAGTTCTGGGGCCGAGCCGGCCAGGAGGCCCCCCGCTCTGGGCAGGCGCCTCTTCCCAGCTCCTCCGTCAGGCTGGGCCGGGCCGCCCTGAGGGCCTCGCGTTAACTCAGCCTTTTCAGAGTGGGGCGCAGAACAGGCGGAGCCACTGAGACCCACTACTGAGGGGAACAGCGGGGAGACAGGCGGGGTCTGCTGCGCGCTGCGGGTCACTCCCGGCCGGGGACCGAATGTGTGCCGCAGCGGTCAGCTCCACAGTGCTGAGGCTCACCCCTGCACCCCAACTTCACAGGCCTTTTAAGAGTCCTGTTTCCAGAAACTTACGTTCTGACCCTCAGCAGTTAAGAAATCAACACGAGCTGAGGGCACCACCCAGCCCTGCAGCAGGCGGGCGTGTTGCCGCGAGCTGCGAGGTGCTCACCTTTCTCCAAGGCCTGCGCCAAGCTGCAGTGACCTAGCGCAGTGGTTTCCGGCTCCCGAGGGCGGTTGCGAAGGCTGCTGGCCTGGCCCTGGCGCCCCGCCACCCCACACCGCTGAAGGATGGGGCGCGCAGTGGCTCGGAGTCGCACACCTCTGCGGCTGGAGAGCTGCCCGGGGCGGTGGGACAGCGGTTTCGGCCCTCACCACCCTGCCCGGGCAGGCTGGGCGCTGCGGGCCTTCCGGGAGCCGTGGCAGCGAGGAGACGGCCGCCGGAGGCCAAGGCCCTCCAAGTCTGAGACCCCGGTCAGACCTGCTAGAGACGGGAAGAAAGTCACCTCAGAATAAGAGAAAACAATTCCCGAGAACGGTGTGACGTCGTTACTTGGTAGCTCGTGGCCACTAAACTGTCCACGAGATGGGGCCCACACGGAGGGAGAGTAGAGGGCTGTGTCCCCCCCTGATCGCTCTGCACGCCCCGTCCAGCTGGCCCTGATCGTGGCTCAGCACCGGGACCAGGCCAACGTCCTGTCCGGCATTAAGATGGCGGCCCTGGAAGAGGGCCTGCGGAAGATAGCCCTCGCAGCGAAGAAAAGGAAAGGTCAGCGCCCTCTGTGCTCGGGAGTGGGCGGGCTTCATGTCCCGGGCGTGAGGAGGACACGCGGGCGGCCCCCCCCCCCCCGGCTGGACCGCACGGCCTGCTGGGACACGTCTGCCTGTGCGTGTACCGACTCGCGGCCCTGGGCTCAGCGTTTCCTGTTAAGCCCCTGGTGTGGCGCGTCTGTCCGCGGGCAGCCGCGGTGCGGGTCACCGGCCCGCGTCGCTCCTTGCGGGGTGCTGACACCCCACGCCCGTCTCTCAGCCAGCGTGCACCTCCCGCGCCTGGGCCACAGCTCGCAGGGCTTCAACTGGTACGGCGCCGAGCGGCTCCTCCGGAAGCTGCTGGCGGCGAAGGGCGTCCCCACCTACGTGTATCCTTTGGCCGCGTGCCCCCCGGGCCCAGCAGCAGGTGGGGCGCCCGCAGCTGGCAGCAACTGGTCTCCCTGGAGCCCGCCATCTCTCACCAGAACTTGGCTCTGTGAGCCCAAGCAGTTACGCGAACCGACCAGGGGCCATTTCCCGGCCTAGCCGAGGCGTCGCTAGGACAGGCTGGACGTTCGTTCTGCCCATCCGGACGTCGGCAGCTGTCCCAGGCAGGGTCTTCCCTCACGACCCCTTGCTGTGTCAGTCAGCGCTGCCTGGACTGTTCCACTGAACCGTGAGCGGCCGCTGAATTTGTCCGCAGTGCTGTGACCCCGCAGAAAGCCGTCGTCTTACTCAGAATTAGCTTCCTCGGTGGCTTTCAGCATATTTAAATCACTTTAACATCTTGTGTAGTTCAGTGGTATCAAGAGCTCTCAGCGTGTCAGACAGCTCCACGGGGTGTCCTGGGCGGGGGCGGGGCCGGACGTCCCACGGTCCCTCGAGCACAGCGGTCCCGTGACTGTCTCCTTGACTGCCCCCCAAGGTACTACCACCCCAGAAGCAAGCCGGCGGGGCCCTCCCAGCCCGCAGCCCCGCTGGTGCAGTAGCGGTCTCCGCGGCAGCCAGCGGACCAGCCGAGCGCCTCAGACGGCGGCCGCAGGGGCCTCCGAGAGACTCTAGATTCTGACCTCCTCCCTCAGGCCACGCGGGGAGGCCCGGCAGCTTCCAGGTCCCGTCTGAAGAGCCACGTGCTAATAAACGTTATATTTCTCTACGGCCTCGACTCCTCTCCCGCCGCTCGGGCTCCTCCCCTGTCGGCTTTTCCCTTAAGGGGAGACTGGGTGGGGGGGACAGGGCGGCGCCCAGGGCCCGGGGAGGGCCCCCCGACCGTGCAGCCCTGGAGCCCTGGCGGGCCGTCACGGCGGGTGGCAGCCCGGCAGCGCCCCGGGGAGGGCCGTGAGCTGGGCTCCCAGGCCACCCCACTTCTCCTGCAAGGCCCTCAGGTACTGGGGTGCCGCAGACGCCGGCGGCCCGGCTGCGGGGTCAGGGAAGCCAGAAGGGGGGCAGCGGCCCCGCCACGTCTCCTGAAGATCACCAGGCCCTCTGCTCACGGTTCCCTTTTGTTCCCTCGTGAAACTTCCTGGGGCCCCACGATCACGGCTGGGTGAGCTGCCTTCTGCGCAGTCACCCCTAGGCACCAGAGGGGCCCCAGCTCTCCCCGCCCCGCCGGCAGCCCTCTCCCGCCTGGCTGTGAGGGACCCGGAAAACGGCGTTTCCTGCCGCTTAGCCAGGCCTGGGCTTGGCCCTCCGGGAAGACCGCCCAGTCGCCCCTGACCACACCCGAGTGGCCGCTCCCGAGGCCTGGGCACCGCCCGTGAGCCAGGCCCCGGAGAAGCCGTCGCTCCGCCGGCAGGCACCTCACACGAGCTGCCCCCAGCTCCCCCCGACTCACCGGAACAGCGCGGCGTTGTGGCCAGACGACCCCCAGCGCCAGCGAGCGGGAGTGGCACCAGGCCCCGGGCAGCGCTGGGCTCGTTTCCGCGATCAGACGACTTAAAGCTGGCTCTTTAGTGGCCGGAACACGGGCAGCGTGCCAGGCGCCGGGTCTCCCCTCTCCAGTAAAAGCCACTCACCCTCGCCCTCGGGGTGCGCTCCTCCCTCACACCTTTGCTCCGACTCCCCCGCCTGCTCCCTTCCCGCCAGGCCCGGATCGTCTCACCAAACCGCCGGCCAGAGGCTCTGGCCGCGCCACTCTGCGGCCGTCCCGCCCGAGACCCCGTCAACAGCAGTGCCCTCGAGTCACCACATTCGGGGCCACGTTCCAGGCCCCACCTGGGCCTGAGGGGATTCCGGGGGCCCAGCCACGGGGGCGCGTGCAGCAGGTGCCTGGCGGACGCCCTGCCCACTGTCAGCGTGCTGGGTCTGCCGGGCCGGGCCGGCGCCCGGCTGAGCAGCCGACGGTTCTGGAGCCCAGAAGCGGGACGGTCCTGGACATAAACCCGACGACGACGGCCCCCGGAGACCGGGCCGGCGGCACCGTGACCCGCCTGCGGGCGGCAGGGGCAGGGCCGGTGCTCGAGCCGCGTCTGGGCGGCCTTGAGGCAGCCGGTCTCCAGGGCCCTGGCGGCGCGCACCTTGCCTCCAATCGCCACCGCCCCCTTATTCCTCCAGAAGACAAAGCACATTTTGCCGAATTTAGAGTGACAACACACTTGGATGTGGCGGGTCCCGTGCCAGGAGGCGCCCCCACCGGCCGTGGCGCCCGAGCACCCCGAGTCCTGGGCAGGCCCCAAGGCTGAGGCCGGGGTCGGAAGCCCGTTGTCCCGCCACGGGACAGCAGTGTCCCTGCAGGCACAGGGCAGAAGAACCGGGCCAGGCACCCCACATGCCCGTTTCTGGGGTCTTCTGTGCCAGGCGGTGGCTCCCTGAGGGTCCCGGCCTCCCCTGCGCTCACCCACGGCCTCCACACAGCCCCTTTCTGGGACTTCCTTGGGCCACCCTCCCTCCCCCGGCCTCTCCCCTGTCCACCCCCCTGTCCACCCAGCCCGAGCAGCCTCTGCAGGTGAAGGCAGGTCTCCCAACACCGCCGTCCACTTCAGTGCCAGCTGCGAGCCCCCCATGCCCGCGCCCCAGGTCCGGGGCCCACCCAGCGGGCTGCCCTGACTGGCTCGGCTCCGGGAACACCGGCTGCTTGCGAGAAGACTCGCCCACGGTGTCTGACAGGAGCGGCCGGAGGAGCCGGGGAGGCGCAGCTGTCCACGCCCTCTGCGGGCCCAGTGCCCCGGTCCCAGTGTCCACCCTCCGGCAGCTGCCATGCCCTCCCCCCGGTCCTTCTGAGGCGCACCAGCTCAGCTTGACTGGTCGGCGCACTGGCCCGGCCCCCCCCAGGTCTGGGGCTGCGCTGGAAGTGCGCACTCCGCGATGGGCGTCCAGGCAACAAGCCCCGTCCTGGGCTGTTTCCATTCGGGTCAACAACAGACACCCTCGGGCTACATGTCCAGGCTGTGGTGCTGTGAGACGGCCTCTGGGTGAAGACCAAATGCATGTAAGAAACAGTCCGGCCATCTGAAAGGCAGGCGCAGCAGACCTCTCCCGTCTCCCCGCTGCTCCCCGCAGCAGTGTCTCCAGGGCTCCGCCTGTGCTCTCCCCGCTGCCTCTGGTGAAGCCTCTCCGGCCCTGCACTTCTGGCCTGCACCCCAGTTCTTGGGTGCATCAAGAAATTTTTTCAGGGACTGGCTTCCCCTGTGACGCCCCAGCTGGGGGTGTCTCACTCCTGTAAGGCTGGAGCAGCCGCCAGCCACCCCTGAGCGGCCGATCCTCAGGCAGAGGACACGGCAGAGTCACGGGGTGCTCAGCTGAGGCCGAGGAGGGGGCCCAGCGAGCTGCAGGGGCACGCAGCTCTCACCCGCTGAATCGCGCCTCTGCATGGCATGTCTGGGCCCGTGGAAAGGGGCAGGCGGCCAGAGCTGCACAGACAGGCCGCGCCCGTGGAGGCGGGAAGGGTCTCCGGGGACCAGGAGGCGCCTTTGCGGCACTGCCCTCGGCCCCCCAGAGGAGCGACCCCCACCTTAGCTTACACTCGCTGAAAACTGGCCCCAAAGGGCCCCAGTGTGCCTGAGGTGGGAAACCGCCCTCTCCCCAGGGGCCGCTGGGGTTCCCTGGAGCCCCAGGGCCCTGCAGGACTCGGGCTGTCTCAAGCCCTCAGTGCTTCTCCGTAGTGAAACAACTGCCCCCGGCAAGCTTCGGAAAGGGCCTGCTGGTGGGGTGGGTGAGGCCCCCCAGGCCTGCTCTCCTGTCTTGGCAGGCAGCCGCCTGTGAAATGCGCACATTTCAAAGCAAATGGCTCCAGGAGCTCGTAATTGCTGCCAAACGTGTGCGGTTTAACAGCCCATTCTCATTAGCCTGTGTGAAATCACCTGTCTCGTGTTGTTACCCAACTTAATTGTCAATTATGGTGATTACGCTTGGCGTGCACCACCTTCGCTGGCAATCGTGAGTATCATCTCTGAGGCTGGAGGAAGGGGAAAAGCAGGCCCGGAAAACAGTCATTTGCAGGAGCCAGAGAACCCAGTGGCGTCCTCCCGTCCTCCTGGTCCAGGCTGGACCAGACAGCCTGGCTGCCGTCTCCAACCTGCCTCTCGGGCATCTCGGACGAATCCCCGTGGCCACTTGTCCTGGGCGGGTTCCTGCTGCCCTTCGCTGCTCATTCTCCAGACCCTGCCCCAGAGCTCGCCAGGAAGGAGGTGAGGCCGGGACTGCGGCCTGTGCAGTGCCAAGAGTAACAGCCGGAGTCCGAGGAATGCGGGGTGGACAGCCGCTTCTGGAGAGGAGCTTGAGTCTGGTCCCCACCCCACCCCCCCGACTGCTGCTGAGATGTGGACACCTTGGCTCGGGGCCCCCACCCGTGAGCCTGCACTGGGCTGGCTGTTCCCGGATCACTCCTGGACTTTCCACTGATACAAATCAAGGCTGTCATCATTCCCATTCATCCTTTACCGATTTTAAATTAGAAAAACTCCCAAGTTTCTGCTGTGCTTTCTGGGGTTCCAGGGCATGATGAAATACGAGAGCCCTTCAGAAGTGGCATCCTTCGGCTTCCCCAGCACGCGCAGCCACGGCCACCCCCAAGCTTCCTGAAGACTTGATGGTTTCTTGATCTTTCTAAAACACTTTCGGGAAACTAATGAGACTTTTAAATTCTAATTTTAGGGGAGGAAAGGAATGAAGGAACGCGAGCTTCAGGGAGCTGCAGAGTGAACCAGAAGCTGTCTGCCGCTTTCGGGGAGAGGACCGACAGCCCATACGGCCCCAAGCAGCAGCACTTAGCAAGGCCGAGTCTAGACTCAAGCCGAGCGTGACGAGGCATCAGCTTCCTGGAGTTTCTCTTCCCTCGACACCTTCCTGTTCTCAGTTAGTGTCGCTTGGGGTTGGTGGAGGTTTGAGTCCAGCTATATACCACACTCCGCCACTCGCCCTCCGTGAGGGAAACTCAGCGCGCCCCATTCACGGGGGAACCGGGCCCCCGCCTTCGCGAGGCTTTCTCATTTGCAGTCGCGTGTAAAACTTGTAAAATGGAATGTCTGTCATCTCCTGAGAAGACCTCTAAGGCACCACCTGGCTAAAGGTGGAAGAACGTCAGGACGCAGCTCTTTCCCCGCCCTGGCCGTCCCACCCCCCAGGCAAGGCGGACTGCCCCCCTTTCTGCGTTCTTACTGGGGTGACCGTGCGCCCACATTTATTGTAGTTTTGTGTGCCTTCACCTTGTTACTCACAAATCTTAGTCAAAAACAGCTGCCCTTTCTGCTGCTGTGCAAGTAAGTTCCGGGCGAGGAAGGAAACAAAACAGCCACCGAGAACCATAAGGGGAGAGCCCCAAATGGGGTCCTGGGGGGACCGGCCGCTTCCGGTGTGCAGGCTGAAGAGGAGCGGCTGTGGTAAGGCTGTGCGGGAGGGTTGGCCGGTCTTGCTGTGGGGCAGCCGTCCCCAGATTTCTGGAGTTCTGGTGCTGGTTTGCCAGGGCCTGTGCTGGGGACAGGTGTGTCCCTGACAGGTGTGTGCTGGGGACAAGTGTGTCCTGGACAGGTGTGCCAGGGAAAGGTGTTTCCTGGACAGGTGTGTGCTGGGGACAGGTGTGTCTTGGACAGGTGTGTGCTGGGGACAGGTGTGCCAGGGAAAGGTATGTGCTGGGGACCAGTGTGCCAGGGAATGGTGTATTCCAGACAGGTGCGTGCTGGGGACAGGTGTGTCCCTGACAGGTGTGTGCTGGGGA